TGAAATCTGAAATTTCATAACTTTTTTCCCCTTAAATTCCCTTCAGTGGAGCTGTCCTGAAAATTATGAGTCAACTGTCCATGAAATTTCATTTTAAAAATTTATTGACAAAAATCGAAATTAATGATAAAAATCGAAATCGATAAAAACCAATTAATACCTTCGACATAATTTTTTATCTATCGATCTCATGACTTTAAATCTCGGCATAATATTTAAACTCTGGAATTCCTCCGCTTGGTTAACGTCCTCAGCGAAATCCCCCTCCTCTCCCCGAATATTTCATTTAATATCGAACAAAACGCGCCCCGAATGCTGAGCGTGCCGCGGGTGGAGGAGAAGAGAGGGGAGAGGGAGGAGAGAATACAAAGGAAGGGAGAAACAACGGATGGAATTTGCGGACAGTTGCCATTGGCATACGCATGGAGTCAGGTGCTCAACCTAATGTCAAATGTTGACTTGTGCTATGTTCATTGCTCGATGATAGCCGATAAATTTTCCACGCTTGTCTCGGCCGATCTTGTCCTTTCGCCTGATAAAAATGTTTTTCGAAGGATGAAAAGAGAGGGGAAAAAATGCTGAGTAGTTGAGAGGAACGCAAATCCGGTCGTTACATGTTCTTCGGGAATTACCTGCACGCAGATACCATCGACGTTAGCACCTGCTTCGAGAGTTGTGGATTACGATGATGTACATGAAATGCATCCGGTGAAGTATGAAGTATTAATGTTTTTGATGTACATCAATTAGGGAATGTACTTCCTACAATTTTGAGAGAGCGAAGTGTGTCTCTCTGGACAGATCGTTGTCCTTCATTTGCCCGCTTTATGGATTGCCATTACTGCAACCCTTCACCTCGACACCCCGCGGAGTGATTCTGATCGACTGACGATTGGAAATAAAGTCATTCAATGAAACGAAACAATGCACTCACCTCCGAGATTAACGCAACCGACGAAGCTGATGAGCAAGCGATGGACTGACAGTCGTGGCAGTGCGCGTGAAAATATGAAAGCGATGAGGAAGAGAATGAAAAAAAAAAATGAAGGATTAAATGATCGAATGAATTGCAGTTCATTCGGAGGGGGAATGGTACCAGTGTCATCAGAGAGACAGGAAAATTTTCGGCTGAAAACACTGCAAGACGATTATTCTCCATCAATAACTTGCGGAGATATCGAGCTAAATCGATTGTCCAATGGATTTCATCTCTCATCGATATCTCCCAAACTAATCGATAAATATCGATCGCACATGCAGATTTATCAACCGATAATTTACCTGGCTGGACAATGCGCCCAATTTTATCGATCAATAACTCGAAATTGTGAAAAATGGAAAATAATTGATGATTCGATAATTGAGGGAATTTTCCCCATGTGGGTGGCAATGCATTGATATATTTTGCAGATCGATATTTTTTTATTTACGTATTAGACTGTTTGCATTACTACGCATGAACANTTTTTTTTTTTTTTTTTTTTTTTTTTTTTTTTTTTTTTTTTTTTTTTTTTTTTTTTTTTTTTTTTTTTTTTTTTAAGGATTTCTCAACAATTACAGTTCAATTTGCATACGTATTTCTTGTTATAAACACGAGACCATGTGAACTATTTACAGATGTTGTGGTAGCTTAGAACTATTTTAACAATACCCTTCAAATTTTTATAAAACATTTGACAAGAACTCGTTAATTATAACGAGGCATTTTTTATCTAGTCGAATTAGAAATTCTCGTGCATAATATAGTATAGATTTAGGTTCTACTTTTGGTTTACCTGGATTCTTGGCTACATTTATTATTGATTTTAAATTTTTATTTTACATTCTTAAAAACCAATCAATTTCCGTCAATCAAAAAATAATTTGTTCTTGATTATCTTTTCCAACTCTTTTTCAAAATTTTCTCCTCTCAATCGACCTTGACCATCCGATTTATAGGATCCTCAACTCTCCAGCCAAAGCCGCGTTGAATTCAGAACGGTGTCTGTGTCACGCACGTCGAGTTCGAGGGGATCGTGTGCGTCGCGCAAAAACCCTATTGAGTTAATCAACTAATTTATAATTAAAATTCCAGTAGAGCGAAAGGCGACTCGAGACGTCTCTGGCCCCCTCCATTCCGCCCCCCCTTCTCTTGCCCATCGACTCATCAGGTTTTGCAATGGTTCAAAGGCGCAAGAAACTCAACAGCCGTCTGGCGATCCTCGATTCGCAGTAATCTCCTTCAAATTCATAGAACACCAATTAACCGCTGCTCATTGTCTCGAGTAGTGGGTAAATAAAAAATGGGGGTAAATATCTTGACCCAGTTCGAGGAGTTATGCGGATGTTGGCACATGTATTACTTTGTTTCTAACGATTTAACTGCAAGGATTTGTTTTTAAGTATTTTTTCATTAGAAAAATACTTTTTTATTTTTTTTCTCACGCAATTTCATTGGCGAATTTGATGATTGAAAATGTAAAAGATTAATTCTGTAACAGAATTGAATATTTTCCCCATTCTCCCCATTAAAATACTATTTTCTTGAATTTCAGTTAAACAATTAAACTTAATTTTGACTATTGGCAAGTGTTCAGTAAATATCTCGAGATCTGAAGGAGATAGTAAAATTTTTGTCATAACCTTTTTTCTAGCCCTCAATTCGCTCTACAAAAAAGGTCATTATAAAAATTTCGCTATCTCCCTTAGATTCGGAGATATCGGTAACCGTTTTACCGATTTCATAATGCCACTTCACAAGACTATATAAATTTAAATAATATGAACCAGAATTGCCCAGTTATCCCCTTCAATCCTGCATCGACACCATCTTGAGTTCCCGCGTGTCTCAAAATGGCGCACGAATCGCCCCCATTCACGGCGAAAGCGACACAACTGTCGTGTGCAAAAGGGAAAATCTGTTCAACTCCTCGGCGTTTTGCATCCTGCGTTCTTGGGCAGGTCGTAGTCACACCATTACAATCATCCTCTCAAATAACAAGTATTGAGTCGAGTAATAGGTGAACCGTCTGCGGAGACAGAACAAGGAAGTCCATAATGACAACGTATGCACGAAACATTTAACATACGAATCGCGTGACTTATTAATGAAATCGAAGCTCGACCCAGTCACGCCATGCGGCGCCATTGACTCCACATTTTCCCCGTAGAAAAATTCAAAAAAACCTATCACTATCTCAAAAATTACTGGGGCAATACGGGCTTCAGATCCTAGCCTTCGGAACGGCTCAAGAATAATTGTAATTATTTAAAACTAAAATAATTGAAAATCAATTATTGAAATGACGTAAACGATAAATTCTCCCAGCGTTATGAATAATTGAATCGACATTTGCCATTCAGTCCCGGGGAATGTCAAGGTTGGCATTACGGTGCCTCACACGCTGATAACCATCGGCTCTTTATTAATAGAGAGACGCAAAGATGTATATAATAATGAAAAAAATATTGAAAATAGAAAAAATCGCCAAGAAAGTCCATATTCATGTCAATGTGGGAGGGTAATGAAGCAGTAATACCAGGATGCCGTGAAGTCCCTGTCACGGCCAACCAGACGAGTTGCGCTGGGATCGCATTAATTACGCGCATTAGAATCCGCCTGAGTTGCTTCCTCCGATGCACTGCCACCCACGTGTGGAAAATTCCCTCAATTATCGCATCGTCAATTATTTTCCATTTTTCACAGTTTCGGTTTGTTGATCGATGAAATTGGGCGCATTGGCGAGCCAGGTAAATTATCGGTTGATAAATCTGCATGTGCGATCGATATTGATCGATTAGTTTGGGAGATATCGATGAGAGATGAAATCGATTGGACAATCGATTTAGCTCGATATCTCCGCAAGTTATTGATGGAGAATAATCGTCTCGCAGTGTTTTCAGCCGAAAATTTTCCTGTCTCTCTGATGACACTGGTACCATTCCCCCTCCGAATGACCTGCAATTCATTCGATCATTTAATCCTTCATTTTTTTTTTTCATTCTCTTCCTCATCACTTTCATATTTTCACGCGCAATGCCACGACTGTCAGTCCATCGCTTGCTCATCAGCTTCGTCGGTTGCGTTAATCTCGGAGGTGAGCGAATTGTTTCGTTTCATTGAATGACTTTATTTCCAATCGTCAGTCGCTCAGAATCCCTCCGCGAGGTATCGAGGTGAAGGGTTTCTCGATGAACCGTCGTCGACTCGGCATTCCACATCTCTCAAAACGCAATATTGAAAAGAAGTGTTTTTCCACACACAATTGCACACTCGCGTTCACCCAGAAGTGATAAATAGACAGAGTCAGAAACACCCTGAGACCGTCACTAGATGCCTCTCTACCGTTGTACAACGGTTGCACGACGGCGTTGTATACTCACGTTTGCAAGATTATCTCGTGAAATTATGACTGAGGGAAGGCTCGTCGGTGGCTTCCACGTTACATAAACCATAGAGCCGTCTCACCGAATTGGGTGCACGCGCTGGGTATAATATCCACCACCTTCGCTACTGGCAACGTCAACGGCCCGTGAAATTTCTACTTCACCATAATAAAACTCCTTTGTAATTTCCCCAACGAATATCAAGGGAAAATTCATCATGTTTCACACTCATTTACTACTTGCCGTCTTCGCGAGCAATATTCATTCATTGAAAAGTCTAGGGACTCCTCCAGCACTCGATAGTCAGAAAAATTGTGGCACTTTTGTCCTTTTTTCAAGACCTTAAAAATTTTAGTCATAACATTTTTGTTATTAATTAATTAATAACAGTTAATAATAAGTTAATTAATAACAATTGATAATTAATTAATAACTCCGATACCTCGAGAACAAATCGATTGAAATCGTTCGTCACACCGACTTTTCCCCTGAAATTTCCATTCAAAGAATCCCCACCCCTTCCCCGACTAATAAGAACCCTAAAAAATTGATTATTTATTTCTAAATTTATAACAAAACCCTTTTGACACATCTATCGCTTGAACTAACCCCTGCATAATGATTTTCTGTTTCAGACGCCATGGGTAAGTGGAAAAGCCCCGCAAAAATAGTAAAAATCAGAAATGTTAAGTGCCGGTAAGACAAGTTAATCACAATGACTACTCAATTATCATTTTTTTTCAATTTGTTAATGGAATTCCGTCCTCTGGTGAACGAGAGTTCAACATGTGGAAGGAAACAATCGTGCGAATTCCGGTAAACGCATCCGTCACTGATAACACAACAGGCGTGCCTCGGGGTCTTATAGTTTAATTGCATTAATTAGGGTTTAGACGGTGCGCATCGTATCGTATCGCTTCGTGTCTGGAGGTCGGGTCTGCAGTCATAAATCTAGTGTTCTTCCTTTTGCTGGGTTTAGTGAAATTTGTTGGGCTCTGCGAGATGAGGATGATGTTTTTCGAGATGATGATATTCAAAAAATTAATTTCAAGTCAAGTCAGTGATTTGATTCAAGTTGAACACGACTTTAATCAAGTGTGTACTTGATTCAAGTAGCGCTCGATCTGAATCGAGTAGAAAAATGTTTAGATGAAGTATTTTTCCTACTTGAATCAAGTATGATCTCTACTTGAATCAAGTATATGCCTGATTCAAGTATAATTCAACTTAAATCTAGTAGGAAAATACTTGAATTAAGTAACTTTTCTACTCGAATCAAGTAGAGATCATACTTGATTCAAGTATAACTCAACTTGAATCCAGTAGATAAATACTTGAATCAAGTATCTCTCGTGCTTGAATCAAGTCCAACTCAACTGTACTTGATTCAAGTAGCGCTCGATCTGAATCGAGTAGGAAAATGTTTAGATGAAGTATTTTTCCTACTTGAATCAAGTATGATCTCTACTTGAATCAAGTATATGCATGATTCAAGTATAATTCAACTTAAATCTAGTAGGAAAATACTTGATTCAAGTTGAGTTATACTTGAATCAAGTATTTACTTGATTCAATTATAACTCAACTTGAATCCAGTAGATAAATACTTGAATCAAGTATCTCTCGTGCTTGAATCAAGTCCAACTCAACTTAAATCAAGTAGGAAAAATACTTAGACCAAGTATATTTCCCACTTGATTCAATTATCTCTCCTACTTGAATCAAGTACAATAATACTTGAATGAAGGAATTGTTTTTTTGGCTCATTAAAAATTAATTTTATCAAGAAGTGGTGCCACAATTTCATCAGCAACTCCACGTGTTTATAAATCGTCTGAAAAATTCACCAAGAAAATTTGAAATGACACGAGAACAGAAGCGTGTAAATGGTGATGCTGAAGGACTGGAGCCACACGGTGTTGAGCGCATGGTCTCCGCATTCTCATCGGTTTTCGCGGAATAACGAGCTATAAAAGGCGTCGCTTTACTGCTTCCAGGACTGAAAACGCATTAACGTTCCCTCCCACTCTCTCCCATCTCATCCCTTTCCTCCTCCCTTCCTCCCCTCCGCCCCTCCTCCCTCAAAACGACACAGCGACTCTGTTTTCAGGCCGGGGCATACGGCATCAACTTGACGATGGGTGGGCAACACAGTTGAGTTTATGGGATTCTCTCTTACGTTTTGATTTTTTTTTTTTCGTTCGTGAGAATCGTCGGCGATTCTCGTGTCCTCCTGTCCAAACTGTGCATTTGCATTCTAATTGTCAGAAACTACTGGAGATTATCGTTAAGCTCCTTTCAATGGAGTCGATTTATTTGGGTTGGCGGTGGGAGTCACTTGGGGGTATCGGTTTCTTCAATTTTCAGGCAATTTTCATTATTTGCTCGGGGAGGCGTCGGCCCACATCAAAAAATTTATTTGAAAAAAATATATAATATGAGCCAATTCCATATATTTTTAATATATATAGAATAATATATTATTTCATATATTAATATATTATTATTTTAATTATATATTATTTATTTTTTATATTATTGATATTATTATTATCATTATTATTATTACTAATAAGCATATTATATTAATATATTATATATTATTTCATATTATTTTCTTATATATTATTTTTTCATTATATATATATATGAAAATATATAAAATATATGAAATATATTTTTAAATATATTTTTCAAAATATAAATTTTTCCGTGCGGGGGGCCACTTAGTTTAGAAGCGTTTGGAGACAGTTGCCTCATTTGATCCAACAAATTGCAAAATATCCGCCATAAACAGGTATTTTTTCATCGAATTAAATTTTGCGTAATTTTATAAAATTTGCCACGATTTTCTGGGTAATTTTTATTGTATTTTTCCCACCGTGCTGTTCCCCTAAAAAAAAATTTGATGTAAACCCACTCAAAATAGCTCCCGAGGGTCCAATAAACCTGCCTCGATGACCCCAAACCCTGAAAAATCTCTTTACGGAGGTAAATACCCGGGCACTGGTCGAGGGTACACCTTCCAACAAACCTCAAATGAACGATGTGTACGAGATTAATCGGCAACCTTAGCAGGCCCCTCCCTGGGAAAACCACCCCCGTCTTCCCCTGATGGATGTTACGAGGGTGGAATTTTAATGACGTCTTCCTGCTTCCTTCCCTCCCTGTGTAATGCGTACGTAGATTTGATAACGGAATGGTTAGTGGATTTACGAAGAATGGGGGGGGGGGGGGTTTGGCTAACGCGTTGCAATTCCCGGGAAGATACACGGGAGGAGAACTGCTGGGGGATGATTTCGATGCGCATGGGTGAGGGGAAATAGGGACAGGTTGGAGTGAGTCACAGATACCTTAAAATCCATTGGGCGAGGGAGGGGGGGGG